TTCAGGTTTGCTATCTAGAATACTTGAGATCACTCACTTCATTGCTGCCAACCTCAGGAACTGAACGAACCAATCTTATCAATCCTACTGGTTATCGTTATCAGTACCCCTAGCGCCTATCAGTGTCAACTTTGTTTCCATTTTCGCCACAAATTCAGTTTCGATGTCCATATGGAGTCCTAGAACATGAGAGGTGACACCATATGGACATACATACCTCACTGAACTAGCGATATGTCACCGTGCGATTTGCAACTGAGCGATTTTTGCTTCCATCATGAGATATATCACACTTCACCTCAATTAAAGTCATAAATTGAATGGTATTTGGTTCATTATCACAATTTTATATGACCATAGGTTTTATTGATAGCGTTACAACATTAACTTAAAGTAATTGACCATTTCAGGTCAATGTTGGCGTTACGAAAGCACAAAAATGGCTGTCGGCAGTGCCTAAGTCCACCATTCGGAGTACCTCTTGATCACATTGTAAAATTTTTTCACGTTTTGACAAATATCATGAAGATTTCGTGGAATGCTTGAATTATTCTGCCGTTTGGTGAATCTGGACTCGAAGAATTAGCCTCATCAGAGATAACACTAGACCTTTTTGAAACGTTTGATGGAAATGTTCATTTTAAAAATGAAATGACTTCATCGAACACATTCAGAATTTAATCAATTCTGTGATTTCAGATGGATACCGCCTCATGTGCCCTCGACGAGTTCGCATTCATTGATGCAGACGAAGCAAAAACAACACTAACTGTTAATGAACCCCCTCATGAAAGCAGTGCTAACACGAGCAATAATAATAATAATGATTCGCCGTTGTTGTTATTGGAAGAAGATGGTGTTGCCACTAAAGGAACTGATTCTGGATTGGGTTCTGAAGGATCCAATCAGTCTTGTACAACCAGTCCTGCCAGGTCAAAAAATCCATCTTCTGATATATACTCTAAGCTGATCATTAAAAATGTCTTCCGAGGCAATTGTATTTGTCGATTAGACTCGAATTTTAGGTAGTTTGCTTTCAGTAAAACCCGAAACTGACTATAAGATGGCGTTTACGTAAAAGATCTTATTAAGCAACTCTACGGAGCTAGTATGTGTGATTTCGATGTTGGTCATTTCCGTGTTGCTTTCAGGTCGTCAGTTCACCTCGAGGACGACGAAGGCTTCGAACCGGACAGCAAACGCCATAATTTCCAGTCGATCTCTAAAATTCGTATCACACTTAACGGTGAAATTGTGAATTCGAANCATTTTCCCCGTGTACTGATTGCTTAGCAAAATTTGAGATGATTGCATGCCTTGTGCTGATTCTGTTTGTTTTCACATTAGTGGAATCGCTAAGAAAGGAGGCATGTATCGGCATTTGAGGCACGAATCGTTGATTCGATTTCATGCCACTGGCTTAAATTGACCTCGACGAATCCGCATTCACTTGTTCTTTCGCATTTGTTCTATTTGTCTTTCACGGTCTTTGACTGAGCACAATTTCAGGAACACATTCCGCCTCGCCAACTTCGACCTCGATGTTCTCTTCGGATGCTGACAGTCCTTCGCAAAAAGCGTCGTTGCCAAGCACCTCCGATACGTCTTCTGGTGTATATAATAGTTCTCATCACTATGATAATTTTGTTTCATCCACGCAGAGTCAACACTTTACAGGTTTGTGTTCGGTACTTTCGGCGAAATGTTGAAAGTGTTTGAGTCGAAAACTTTCGTTGCCGGAATGAGGAGATAAATTTAGTTTGAGACTTACTGATTGTTCTGAGTGGGGAAATCGTTACTGAAAGAAAAGTACGCAGTCAATGCAGCGGTCGTAATTTGAAGAACTCTCGGAATGTGACTAGATATTGAAAGATTATCCGAACTGAACACTGAGAAAATCAAATGCTATTGAGTTGTGATTAAAATATTATTGTGCCTTGAAAAGCGAGCAATGGGACCAAATCCATCGAGCCGATACCTTGTTTATAGCCATAACGACGACGTTATTTATGTTATTAACTTGTTGTTGATGGTTAACTGGTGTTGCCGTGTAAATAAATCAAACAAAATATTTGTTGCCGTGTAAATAAATCAAACAAAATATTTGTTGAATAATATCGAATCTAGTCGGTACCCACTTGTGCGTAACATCGAAAACAGTTTCATTCATATACATTAAATCATGCATACACAGACAGCACTGTTTATTCATTCGAATTTCAAGTAATACATTTTTCGAAATCAAAACATTCGAAGTTACTCATATTCACGTTGGTTTCATCCATTCAGAACCACGAAGTTACTCATATATTACTCATATTCACCACGAAGTTACTCAAATGTTGCTCGTCTGCCTTACGGCCAAGCGAGTGTTTGAAAGGGAGAAGGTTATGAACCACTGAACCACTGGCTTGAAATCGAATAAACGCATTGGTATAATATGTCACATTTAAGCATCTTACTCATATATGAACGGCAATGCTACGGAACGATCCACAAATCTGCCGTTGGAGGTTTGGGATTCTGGAGATTTTGATGAGGCGGTTGATTGCATGGAATCGACGTCGAATCTTGTTTGTGCGCTCTCCAGGCGGAACATCCATTTGAGACGAATTATGAAACGTTCGTTCATATACAGTCGTTATTTCCTCTGATCGTTTTCTTCTTATTCACCTTGCAGAACGCAACCGTCATGTCATCTTTTTGCAATGAACTATGCCATCTGAGCATCTGAGTTATCATATTACTTCCAGTCTTAAGTTTAGCGTTATTTTCAGTGAAACTTTACACAAATCTTTTTTATTATAAGTCATCCTTTCATCTCTAATGACTCATCATGAAAGAATTTCAAACAATTACGTGGCCCTTTTTCTTGTGCGATTTCACTGCGAAACTTTTTCTGGAACCGCATTAAACTCGAGCTCTCATCAGCTCGATTGTTACTGTAAATCAAAGATTGTTTTTTCGGTGGATAGGTGCTCATATGATTGCAACAGTCATTCAGTATCATCAGTCATGAAATCAGAAATTTTTCGAAATCGAAATTAGTCACTTTTGTTTCCATATCTATCAATTTCAATGAATCATTCAGTACTCAGTCAGTTTTCGAAATGAATTTGCAATTGACTCACTCATGCGACATTAGAGTTGACCTGTTCGAATGAAATTGGTATCACTGAATAAAATTAGCTTCACAAATGGCATTTGAACCAACTGATGGTTTCTCCGGAGTGAATAATTCATCAGTTTACTTGAATATTGCGACAAGGTACAGTATCGGGAGAGAGCATGAGCGATCTCGGCAGATTTTTGAGATCAGTTGGATTGAGATTGAAATTTCAGCGACATCCACCGCATTGACGTCGTCATCGGCAATTGCTGAGCTGAGCAATCCAATGAAGTTATCTCTGCAAACACTTTACGACGATGTATCTTGCTACCAAGCGCTTGATCTAGCGAAATCTTCCATAATGAGGTAGGTATTTGCTTTTCAAGTGTTGTTCAAACTCGGAATTTTGTTCAAAAAGTCTCGCTGAAAATCACTTGGCTGAGACGAGGGCTGATAGTCTGTGGGAGATAAAGAATCTCTCCCCAACTCTGATTAATAAGTTGGGAA